AAAGTGGCGAACTATGACGTCAAAGAGGATAAAACACCACCCCCACAGGAGAAAATCTACTCCTTCTTCAACACGGCGGGTTTAGCCCCGCCCACCGATTCGCGCATTACACGCATAGCTAAATAACATAGGCCTACCTCGTGATGACAAACCGGTTTGAGCTACCGAACAATACAGAATATTGTGCAGCGCCTGGTTGTGGAAGAAGACGCTGCATATGCTTCCTCTGGCTCCAGAACTGCATGGATAAATTTTATTTTTAATGACGTTCCAGCTGATGAGGTAAAACATTGTCCGTCTGTTCGCTTCATTTCACTGAGGATTGTTGTGTAAACAAGACTGGATTTGCAGACCGATTGAGAGAAAAGAACGGTGCTGTGCCGTCTATATGGATCTGACAAGAATTGTGCAACACACGGACTCTGGGTCGAACATGTAGGCTATGGGCGAATTCCGGTTGCCATTTTACAACATTGGATGTTTTCAAAACTGTTTCACCCACGTACACCGACGAGGTAAGTTGAAAAACTCATTATAATATGCAAAACTGTTATCCACTCACAGCAGTGGGCGTTTACTTCTAAGTCCTCAGTGCGAAACGCCCATAAAATCTGTGTGTTTCTGAGCTAGGCTCAAAACTAGGGTGGTGTTACGATCTACTCCCAGTCTAAGGTTGGTAGAGGGTAACAAACTTAAATAAAAATTAATTAAAACTTAAATGCAAGCATGGAGGGTTCCCTTCAATCCTCTGCCCCAGAAATGTGAGTCAACACTTGATATCAACAAAGAAAAGATTTATTGTTTTTAAAGAAAAGAATGAATTCAATCTTCAGGAGATGGCCATCAAAACAACAAACAAAAAGGTTCTTACTGTTTGAGGAGAACTAAATAACCTATACAGGTTAAAGGGTTAGTTCACCCAAAAATGAAAATTAAGTCATTAATTACTCACCCCCATGCTGTTCCAACCCCGTAAGACCTTCGTTCATCTTCGGAACACAAATAAAGATATTTTTGATTGAATCTGAGAGCTGGATCAGTCCTACATAGACTGCCTAAGGGACTGGCTCTTGACGGCCCATAAAGTCATTAAAGAAAAGGTTTAAATATTCCATGTGCCTACAGCGGCTCAATTATACGTTTATCAAGCGACGAGACTACTTTTTGTGCGAAAAAAACATAAATAACGACTTTATTCCAATATTCCATTACTTCCTTATGGGCGCATGCGCGAGAACTGAGACGAGGACGTTCTCATTCGTCTACTTCTTGTTACCGGCTGCTCACCGCTTAGGAGTTTTACCGCCACCTACCGTATAAAATGATGATCCATATATAAGGCGCTCCGGATTATAAGGAACACTGTCGTTTTTTAAGAAGATTAAAGGCTTTTAAGTGCACCTTGTAGTGCGGAAAATACGCTAATTGAAAAGCGTATGTACAGCGCGCATCTTCCTCTGCTTGTAAACAGAAAGTTTTGCGCTTCCAGCTATATCAGCACATCATCTTATACGGTAGGGGGCGGTAAAACTCCTAAGCGGTGAGCAGCCGGTAACAAGAAGTAGACGAATGAGAACGTCCTCGTCTCAGTTCTCGCGCATGCGCCCATAAGGAAGTAATGGGATAGTGGAATAAAGTCGTTATTTATGTTTTTTTCGCACAAAAAGTAGTCTCGTCGCTTGATAAACTTATAATTGAGCCGCTGTAGGCACATGGAATATTTAAACCTTTTCTTTAATGACTTTATGGGCCGTCAAGAGCCAGTCCCTTAGGCAGTCTATGTAGGACTGATCTAGCTCTCAGATTCAATCAAAAATATCTTTATTTGTATTCCGAAGATGAACGAAGCTCTTACGGGGTTGGAACAGCATGGGGGTGAGTAATTAATGACTTAATTTTCATTTTTGGGTGAACTAACCCTTTAAAGAAAAATAAATAAACAACATGTGCTTCCCTCCACTCCCTGACTGACCAAAAACAGGAAATAATGAGATATAAAATAACAAAAGATGACTCAGTCTCCCTACTGTTCCCCACAAGAAATAAAAGAAAACAAATGTTAAGATTTAAGAGTTCCTTTAAGAAATCCTTTAAGAAATTGTCACTACTTGATAAGCAAACCTACTTGCTATCTTCTAACAGCAAAGTGTACACACAGAGACAGAATGGCCTTCCACAGACCAGATCCATACACCAGTTTAGCACCATTTACACATTAACACAAGTCTGGTGCAGGGGAAAAGTGCACTGTTACATTGTCGTGGTCTCTGCGCTGGTTCGGCAGAACTGGGGATCGTACACCCAAGTCTTGTACAGGACCATATAGGCATCTAAAGATTTATATGTCCTCAGTTTCTCTTTATGATCGGTTTCTCTATAAGGTAGGTGTAGAAGTCAGGCCACTCAACCGAGGTAACGTATGTTAATCCTGCCAGATCATCCATGCATTGAGTGAGCGTGTGTAGGCGGCTACAGGTCGGCCAATCTGGTTCCGTCCGTTAAAAATAACTTATGGAAATAACAATCGCGGCCCTGGACACTGAGTGACCTTTCACATTAAGATAATATCGGATTTTCTCATGGATTTTCTCCAGTCATTGTTAAAAAACAAGCTAACAGTCCTTGCTAACTAGCGTTAGTGAAGCGGCCAGATGGATCTTTCTGCCTCCACCTAAGCTCCGCCCACAAAAAAACGTCACCATGTTTACCAACTGTAAAAGGGTCTATAGTGCAGCTCTGCAACTCTCCACGAGCCTCAGGTGTGGCTAATTAGCTGCAAGGCAATCAGAGTGAGGGAGAGACTGATGCCATGTCCACACGGACACGGGTATTTTTATAACTGGAGTTTTTCCCTCCTGCGTTATAAAAAACCTCCGTCCACATGAAAACGCAAAAACAAGACATCAAGCGCTGTCAAGAGCATGCAACACCAGCAGGCGGCGTTATAAACCTAACCGTAAAGCCACGTTAGCCAATCAGAAGCCATCAGCGGTGCAAAAACTGCAGTTTCGCTGTCTACACGACAACACCGCAACCGGCATTTCAGAAAATACGCACCCTGGCAGGGGTTTTCAAAAATGTTCGGTTTGAGTGTCCTGATACTGCGTTTCGGTGTGGACGAACGGCCGAACCGCGTAAAAAAAAGTCACGGTTATGTACGGTTATAATGGGCTATATGCACCATAGACAGTAAAAGAAATGGACAGAGCCATCTCATTGGAACTCCATTGAGACGATTGAAGCCCGTTTTTGGTGATTTTTTTAGCACTTCCGTCCCTGACGCGCAGACTCAAACAGAGCTCGACTACGTAATGTGATGAGAGCAATCCATCTGTCTTCTAGTGCTGTGGCATGAGAAATCTGAATCATTCCCTTCCGAAACATGCAGAGGCGGAGAGTGTGAGTAGGAGCTGTCCATGAGCTAGGAGCAGGAGACACTTTTGCTTGGTATTCTGATTAATTGTTTTGTCATTTTGCCTCCACGTTTCCCCGATTGCGCGCGAGCTTCTCCTCCTGTACATATGGTAATCTCTCTCCTGTGCGACAGAGAGTCGCGTGGGTATGACGCAATCGCCCATAACATAAGCTACAAGGTAATGGAGCTATTTATACATTGTCGTGTTTCTTTAGAAATAAATAAAGGACAAACGGGGTCTTCAAACGCCTCAGATGTAAAGTTATTCGCTGTCAAAGTGATGCCAAAATGAATGGGAGTCAATGGGAATGCTAACGCAAGCGAAGTTCTGCTACAGGATGTCAGCTCCCGCGAGGCTTCAACTTCCGGTCGATGGTTTACCCCCCTGATATGCACGCATAAGTTCCGCATTTGACGCAAGGATGCTCGTCCATTTCCGGTTGTGGAGATTAAAGGGGAGGAAAACCGAGGAAATTGGGATTATGGCAGAGTCTTCAAAATTTACTGTCCTCCCGTCTTTGAAACGAAACGTACATACGTTTAGATGTAATTTTATATATAGTTATGTTTATTTTAATAGAATTTAAAAAAGAAGCATAAACACAACGAGGGGTGTCTGTTTTATCTGTTTTTGTGACTAACGTTTCTTTAGTATAACCATGGAGTATAAATCTCAATATAAATTCTCGGTATTGCATTGGACTCTACGATCGGCGGAAGTTATCGAGCATACTTACATCTTCACCGGAAATACCGCCATGCATAGAGCCCATAATGCGTCCCCAGGACAGTAGAAACAGTAGAAAATAGCTTATTAGTTATTAATTTCAATTCAAGCAAACGTCATAAGTTCACCTCAGAAAACAATACAATTTAAAAAGCCACTTCATGACCCCTTTAAATGTAGTCACGCCATGCTGATGTTGTTAACATTAACAATTTGACAACAAGGTATAAAAGCGATCGAACGTTATATTTAATCAGCATGATTTACTGCAATGCTTTATTTCCCTTAGTTGGTCAGAACAAAAGTCGATGTTACTCAACTACTTGTTCAGATGACAATTTAGGGTGAAAATTCTTATTGGTCATATTTCCAAAAAGTAGAATCTGTGATTCCGAATGACAGTATCGACACCGCCACCGACTGACAGCTCCTCAAAACATTGGATTCCTCCACGCTATGCTGTGCCGAGGCCCAACTTAATTCCGCAAATGACTACAATTGCAGATTTCGAACAGAGATGGCGATAAAGAGGAAAAACTACAGACTGCAGCAGTTCAAAGAGCAAATTCAGGTGCATTAATCAGTGAGTGACATTGTACAGCTCTCAAGTAATGCTTGCCAGATCTGCCCAATCTTCCACTTCCTAACAAGCAGACCAGGCCTGCAAAATGGGAAACTCCACCATGCATACTTCTTGTGCTTTGCTCTAATTTTCTATTAGTCAGCTGCTAAAACCATGAAGACACAGACAACACAAAATGAATGATATTCATCCCCCCCTGAGTCAAGCGCTGAACACGTCAGGAGAAGGGAAGCTGTGGAAGGAATGCTTAAAAAAAGGTACTGTTTTCAATGTGATTTTGTAGCTTGATATATGATATCACTAAACCTTGATATTGAAAGTAAGGTACTTTCCTGCACATCTTTTACTTTCACTTTAAACTGATACCTTATGGTGGCTTCTGTAGTCAAAGTCCTGTGTGACCTATGATATTTCCTGTCATGTTAGCTGAGGTCTGCAGTTATTTTACTCTGAATCCTAGCATTACCAATGCCAGGGATGCAAACGTATGTATGATAAAAAAGAGAGAGGTAATCGAAGCCCTTGCCCAGGGGCAAATATCCAGATATTTGATATTACAGTCATTATGTTCCTGTGTATATTGCTTGAATGATGCATAGAGACAAAGGCACATCCAGTGTGGTTTTGGAACATCTGGTGTGTGATGGAGAGCTGGCCCACGCATATCTGTCACTGTCTCTAAAGCTCTCCATTCCTGTGAAATCACAAAACAAAATACAAACAAACATAACACAGTTACTGATTTACATCTATGGAGAAACATATTTATTATAAATATGACAAATGATAAAATATTACCAACCAATTTTCATCATCACAGCCATCCTCCTGTTATGTTTAGAGGTTCTGTAGGAAGAAATTAGACAAATTTAGCTCATATGATCATATATAAAATTTAAACTACAATTCAGTTCAAAAGTTTAGGTAAGTCAAGTTTTTTATTTTTATTTTTTGGAAAGAAATTAAAATGTTTATTCTGCATATAATGCATAGAGAGTGAATCTGGGGAAGGTTAATTCACAGCCCATTTCCAAAGGGGAGTCAACAACCGACGTTGCTCAAATGCTTCTGGGCGCAATTGGATAGACCTAAAACCAATCAGGGCTGCGTTTCCCGAAAGCATCGTTAGCCAACTATGGTCGCAAGTTGGTCGCAATTTCCATTGAACTCTATTGGTAACGACGGAACTTGCGACCATAGTTGGCTAACGATGCTTTTGGGAAACGCACCCTAGAGCGGTCGTCATCGTGTAAAGCCTGCCTCAACCTTTTGTGATTGGTGCCTCGATTTGAAAAAAAAAAAAATGTGATTGAATGGGCTCTTGGCCTAGCTTGACTTTGTCATACTCATATTTCATACTCAACGATTGTCATACTCAACGATTTTATTGCTTCTGCTAAAGAAAATCTGTCTGTTCCGTTTTTGAACTGCGTCCATGGCAACGCTCTGTTTTTCTATGCATTGCTATTGCTATGATGATGCAGATGCACATAAACCAAGATTATAAACCATAAAGAGGTTATAAATTATGGACCCTTCACTTACTGAAAATTGATTAATGCAATATTATTCTGCTTTTCCACAAACATAAAATTGTGATTTAAGCATTTTATTTTTATATATATACATAAAAAATAAATAAATAAATACATCTTACCAAACCCATACTTTTGAACAGTGTATACACTATTTCAATATATAAGAGAAAGCAGATACAATGTGGCATTTTGAAACAACAGACACACCTGTTCATCATTGGAATGCCATGGTACCGGAATCCATTCCCTATAAATTAAGATACATTTAATATGGCAGCACTAGATCGACCAAATGTTGGTGCAGTCTGCTGTAATGTTTATATCCTTAAACATTAACACTGCACATTTTGAACATCCCTTTGTCTGACACGCATGCCCATTTCAGGTCTTTACTAATGATGAGCTGATGACCTCAATCAGTCAATTGATTATGGAGACATATGTGCATTATAAACAAATAACAAGGTTATAAATTACGGACCCTTCACAAACTGATCATGATTATGCAATATTATTCTGCCTTTCCACAAATATAAAATTGTGATTGAAGCAATTTTTATTATATATATACAGTATATATATATATATATTCATGAAAAAAACTGACTGTATATTATAACACAATAATTTGTATTTTAACAATGCTGCATTTTAACTTTTATTTTATATATATATATATATATATATATATATATATATATATATATATATATATTTTGTCAGGACATTTTGTTGTTCGCTTGGTTTCTATTTCTGGAGCATGTTATGTTAGTCCACAAACTGTTATGATCAATATCAGTGGTTTAAAATTCTACTTCTCATAACTGCACATTAAAAATCAAAATACAACATGATTAACTGTGATTGTGTCAAAAAATAGTTTATAACTGAAAGAAGTGTTCATTCAAGCCACGACATAATTTATTATTGTAGGGCAATATTAAAATAAAACCAAATCAAACAAAAAAATGTAAATACAAAAGCCCCAAACCCTCACGTCACACTGAGACAAAGAAGTGTTTAAACTCACGGCTTGGTTTTGAATATCACAACACCAACAGCACCAAGAAGAGCAGTACTGATGAAAGTACCAAACAGACTCCAACAGACGGTGCTGGATTCTAGTAAATAATGGTGGAGATAAGTGAAACATTGTCAAGTTCAAACTTTTCCAACGTTACTGTTATTCTTAAAAGCCTGAAAAAAGACTACATCCATTTATACAGACATGGGTTATCACAAATTAGATTTCCTGATTACCAGAATTGAGATTAATATGATACAGGGATATCCAGTTAAAACAATTATAGATCACAGTTTTGAATTTCCACATAATGTAGACTTTTAATCTTTTTGTATCTGATAAATGATAAATTGTAACATGCATAATTAAATGTTTTACTGCCAAATGTATACATGCAAATGTTCTGTTCGCAACCTTAATTGAAATTTAGCAATTCAGTTTATCACCATGTGCAGCACACGACTTTTAATTGGATACGTGTCTCAATAATAAAAAAAACATGTAACAATCTATAAAAAACAAAAATAGACTCACCAGTATGAACATTCACATACAGCGAACCTGCTGAGCTGCCATACTGGTTTGAAGCATGACAGATGTATAAGCCATTAAAGTCAGGGGACAGTTCTGGGACAGGAAGCTTGTTGTCTTTAAAATATGGAGTACTTTTATTCACTCTGTTAAAATAGAGAGATATGAAAGATCGTTGAACACACTGGTAAAACAAGGTTGGATAACATCTGGAAAATTTGCCCACAAACACTTTAGCAACCATTAAGAACTGCTAAACCTTCTGTAAGAAAAAATGATGTGGACGTTGAAAATCTCAAAAATGAAGTTTATTACAGGATAGCAGTGGCACGGTACACATTACACCAAGGTTTCATCGACGTCAGAATGAACCCAGAACATCCAAATCTCAAACCTTTTATCCTGCTACAGTTTACCACTCTTAATGTAAATTAAGTTGCAGCTGCGGTCTTTATGTTAATGAAGTTGATACACCCCATTGCATGAGAAGGTTCTCTGTGTCTCACACCCATTCCCATTCTACAATTGACTACCATTTGCTCATGATGTGATCACCCCAAAGGTGAAGAAACAATATAACTTCACTTCCATCATCTTTATGATAATTAAGCCATTATGGGGATGAGCTCATTCTAAAATATATTTTGGAGTGGAATCTGGGTTGAGGCCTACAATTTTTTACACTTCCATTTTCTTAATGCATGTTACTGGTCTTATTGTAAATGATTCATTTTTGACTTACATTTTTTGACCTTGTAATCTTTATTCAAAATTGTATAACTTGCTCTCTCTGTGATATGACTCACAGATGTTGCAGTTAAGCCAATTACACTCAGATCTGCCTCTGTTCCAGTATGCCATGCTCCCTTTTCACAATCCAATCTACAACCGATGGATAAAATCCTGTCCCGTTCAATGTTTGTTTTTGTTGGGTTTTTTTGCTCACTAAGCCATTTTATAAGAAGCATGTCCCAATATAGTAGTAAAATTCTCGAACATGTGGACTTGGCAGTTTAGCCACAATATGCAAAAGCAACTTGTCAGCTTTGTGCATGCGATAAAAAGTGGTTAGCTAAGAGAATATCTGCCACCAAGATCACAAGTTGTTAGTGACTATTTGTCAGCATGCCTTTGAATCAATAACGTATTGCCTTCTTGCTAATTATCCGTCTAATTTCTATGTAAAGTCAAAGTAAATAGGTAAAAAAAGCAAATGCAAAATACAGTGCAGAAATACAATACATATGAGAATAAAAAGGAATATATATATATATATATATATATATATATATTAGGGCTGTGCAAAAATTAATTGCGATTAATCGTATCCAAAATAAAAGTCTGTGTTTACATAATATATTTGTGTGTGCTGTATATAATTATTTGATATATATAAATACACACACATGCATGTATATATTTAAGAAAATGTGTTATTCATATATCAAATATTTATATTTATAGAATATAGATTATGTATTTATAAATATATACAGAATTTAAGCACAAATAATTCTTAAATATATACATGCATGCATAGGTATTTATATATGCAAAATAATTATATACAGCACACACAAATATATTATGTAAACACAGACTTTTATTTTGGATGCGATTAATCGCAATTAACTTTTGCACAGCCCTAATATATATATATAGTTTTATATATTACCTAGTCCAGGTGTAGATTGGTTCTGGGTTACTGTCCACTATACACTTGAATTCTTTAGCCTTTGTTGTACTGTCAGGAATTATAAATACTGACTCTGGAGGATCTAGGAAAAGAAATTAGGTAGCAAAACTAATTATATATCCAAAAACAGCATTTACTGTGTGTGAAACTGAAACCTTAAAGTTTCAAAGTCAGAAACATGCCAATCTAAGCCATCATTTTTAAGCTGTAGGAATAAGTGCAAAGTTTCGAGAATAGTGATGCCTTCATGCCATGTCAGAAATGTGTGTTCTTTCATAGAATCATCAAAAAGACTCAGGAGGAGTTTGCCAGTTTGACAAATCCTTTTCTGAATGAACTCACAGAATCCATCAAGCAGAAAAGCTACTGAAAGGCTTATTTGCTGAAATATAAGTTCATGTTAATGCATCACAGCTTCATTACAGTCATTATTAAACTCTTATTTTCTGTGCCTTGAAGAAAGCAAAAATACTATATGTTCTCTCGTCTTTGTTATGATTATCGTCATCCCCTATTTTTTCTGCACAAAATATATCTTTAATATAGACAATTGCATTTAGAATGTGAAGTTTGTATTTTATATGAAAAGTATATAACAGTCATTTGTGTGCAAGCTGTTATACTTACAATGAATGTTTATTGTGTAGTTCATTACGAGGTCTTCTCTTAGAGTGATGTGCTTCACCACACACTGGACATTCTTTTTGTTGAAACGCTTTGATGGGACACCAAGGAGGAAGGACACAACAGTAATGGTCCTATTGGGGTGCGCTGTATGGTTGGTTTCTGTTTTCAGGGAGTTTTCCAGATCCCCTAACCTCCACGTCACTTCTGGAGCAGGCCAAGCATTAGAGGCAAAACAGGATGCCAATGTAGCCTCTAAGTTACCAGTAGCAGGTGCTTCCTCTTGCATATCAACCACAGGACTGGCTAAATTTGAAATAGAAAAAAGGATTTAACCATTTAATGTCATTCAACTTTAAAAAACAGACTAAAATAGCTTAGTCTGCTCTTGGTCTTCTCATAACTACTAAAAGCATTTGAAATATAAATGCAACCAATTTTTCTAGCACATAGAAGAAAGGCCCCGATATAGGGTAGGACTGGTAACGTTGAGACGTAGGTACAGTTGAGACACCTTAAATAACTTGCATGCAAATATAAACTACTTATGAGTAATATTGATTGGTAATTTCTTAGTCTACAAGCTAATGAAATGTCATGTGGCAATGTCATGTGGAAATTCACGTCTTTTCAGTATCTATTTTTGTGTGAAAAATTAAAACACAAAAAGTGTCTCAACTGTACCCAGTCTACCCTACTCACGGCAAAGTTCTTTTTCGTTCTTCGCTTAAGGGGTAATGTTACCAGCGGTATACTGTTTTTGAACATCTGACACCAATGCTGAGAGCGTTTAGATGAATAAGTAAATATATGCTGTGCGCTTTCCTCTCAATAACAAAAATAAAAGCACAAGAAAAGCATCTGATCTTAGCAACGTGGATATGTTTGCACAAGCTCTGCAATTCGACACTCTAATAAAGTCACATCACCTTAATTTATATTAAAGGATTAGTTCACTTTAAAAAAAAAAAAACTTTTGCTGATCATTTACTCACCCCCATGTCATCCAAGATGTCCATGTCTTTCTTTCTTCAGTCGAAAAGAAATGAAGGTTTTTGATGAAAACATTCCAGGATTTTTCTCCATATAATGCACTTCACTGGGAACCAAACGGTTTAAGGTCCAAATGAGAGTTTCAGTGCAGCTTCAAAGGGCTTTAAACGACACCAGATGATGAATAAGGGTCTTATCTAGTGAAACAATCGGTCATTTCAAAAATAAATGCAAAAGTTTTAGTTTTATAAACGCTTGAATGTTTTCATCAAAAAACAATTTATTTTCGAATGAAGAAAGAAAGACCTGGACATCTTGGATGAAATGGGGGTGAGTAAATTATCAGCAAAAGTTTTTTTTAGAAGCTACTCCTTTAATACATTTTATTCTATAGATTACGTAAAATCAAGCAGCTTTACCGTCTCAAATGTGCATCTTTATTTTCATCAGAAGTACAATTTTCTACAATAAAGAGGCTCTCCAGTCTGTTCATGTTTTCACTCGTGGACGTCTGACCTAAATGGACTTTTCAGAAGAAATAAAGCGGAAAAGATTTCCCATGTGAAAGGCGGAGCCTTAGTACACATTTATTATATATATATATATATCTCCAAATTAATTTTGTGGTGGCCTGATTTTGTTCAACAGGACGTCATATCAGTTCGTTCTTCGATTTCGCTTGAAGTATACTGGGGCTTTAACTCCTAAATTGAACTCCAAATGAACTTTGTTTCAGCTAAAAAAATATGAACAAGCCATCGTACCAAAAACTGAGGCATTGATGTCCGTCTCAAATGTCCCACTGGGAAATAAGTTGAAAACGCATGTGTAGATCCCGTCATCTAGAAGCCTCATTCTGAGCAGCTGAATTGATCCATTTTTCTCTGCAACCTTTCCAATGAATTGTACTCTGTCCCCCAATCCATTCTGGTGTTCAGTTATGTCACCAGGCCGAATGGCAAAGAAGGTCTTCTCTTCTGGGTTTTCTCTTGTCTTTTTCCTCCATATAATACGAGTTATACTATCATCAGTCTCAGTCAGCTGACACAGCAAAGTGGCATTGTCTCCATTAATGACTGTTGTATCTTGACCAATAACCTTTACACCTTTAACAGAAAAAAATGCACAAAGTACATGAATTAGCAAACACTGCACATGGAGATGTTCAGTTGGGCAAGTAGCATAAAGCAGAGCCTTTGTGTTACGTCCTGAGACGTATTGTGTATTTGTTGCTTTCTCTCACTATCTCTTTTGTCCTGCCCTTTCTTTCAAAGGATTGAGAACAAAAAAACACTTAAGTATTGCTACTTAAAAAATACAGAACTACAGAAGAGAAATAAGAATAAGAAAGTATCACAGGAAAATAATATAACTCGAGAAAGAGTAATTAAGTAGTTTGCTGAAAAACTACTACAAAGTACTTTAGTATACAGTATTTTTCCATTTTTATCAAAAATGACGTGATGTTAGTAATATGGAGCGCTAAACACTAATGCAATTTCTGTTTTATTCATACTGAAGGCCAAAAGGCGCCCTTATAGGAAATCCCTTATTTGGACATCAGATAGCCTATCGCTACAGCTGAATAAACACCAATCAATCAATCAATCAATCAATCAATCAATCAATCAATCAATCAATCAATCAATCAATCAATCAACTTTTATTTATAGCACAAAAAGAGTCAAGTCAAATCAAGTCATATTATGTATACAGCACTTTAAATGAACGACATTTGACCCAAAGTGCTTTACACATTAGAGCAGGAAAGGCAAGAACAATATGCCTTAAAATTACATGCAGTACATAAAAACATTTTAAAGAGAAAAAAAAAATCTAAAGACAATTAAAAGCTTCAATCTCTCTGTCAAATACGATTTAAACGGGGCCCTGTGGTCCAACACTATTTTCCAAACGATCAAAAAAGAATACCATGATCGATAGTGTCGAAGGCAGCGCTAAGGTCCAAGAGATGATAAGAAATGCACTTGATCCAGAGACAATAGTAAGAAGGATGGAATTATAAACTTTAAGTAGTGTGGATTCAGTGCAGATTAAAATTTATCCAACATAATAAAACTCAAGCAGGCAGCCCAAGGGAAGACAGAGGGGTAAAATGCTGGAGGATGTTGATAGGACTGTAAGCTATAACGGAGATGCAACCCTGGGTTATTATGCTAGATCTGATATGATCAATTTTATGGATAAAATAATCAAAAAACTCATCACAAGTTAAGTATGTATCAACTGTATGCCAGATTTAGTGTATCAACAAATTTGGGTCTATTACCCTGTGAGTTAATAAGCTCACTGAAATAATTAGCTTTTGCCTTTCTTATAGCGGCTTGGTAGGCTTTCAGATGTTGCAAAAATGTGTCATAAGAGACCTGAAGCTTATCTTTTTTCCATTTCCGTGACGAAGAGCTTGTGTGGAGCTATTTACCCAAGGGGTTGAAGTGTTTAACTTGAGTCTTTTTTTAATTTTACAGGGGCTATCTGATCCAATGCATCAGTACAGGACAGGTTAAAACTAGAGACAAGCTCATCAATATTAATGCATGATGGCAAGTCCGTACAAAGAGAATGAGAGAGAGCAGGCTGAAAAGAGATGGAAAGTAGGGAATGTTAATTTAATGCATTCATTAACAATCATGTACTAACTAGGGTAACACTTTAGAATACGGTTCCTTCGTTAACGAATAACTACACAATAACTAATGAGTAACACAATATTAACAATCTAGTAACTATTATTAACTAACAAGAAACTCTGACTAACGAATTAATAGCGCACAGACGAAAGTGGTAGTTCACTATTAAGTAATCAATAACTACTATTTTTTTTAATAATTCCCAGAGAACTACTGAAAAAGTTTAACAATCTAAGAAACTCTTATTAACGAATTAGTAAGTAATAGCTCACAGATGAAAGTGTTACTAGATACTTCTGTGGGGAATTACTAATTATTACTTACTAATTCGTTAATAAGAGTTTCTTTTAGTTAACAGTAGTTAGATTGTTAATAAACTTTTTCAGTAGTTCTCTGGGAAGTATTAAAAAAAACAGTATTGATTACTTAATAGTGAACTACCACTTTCGCCTGTGCGCTATAGTTCGTTAATCAGAGTTTCTTGTTAGTTAATAATAGTTAGGCTACTAGATTGTTAATATTGTGTTACTCATTAATTAGTTCTTGTGTTATTCATTAACGAAGGAACCGTATTCTAAAGTGTTACCCTAACTAGTTAATAACTAAATAATAAATGATATAAAAATCAGACAAACTCAGTCAAAGTACACCACATAATGCTAATGAATAATATACAGGCCTATATTTTTAATTAAAAGTACATCATGATATGAATAGATTATGAGCTCAGATTAAATGTTTCCACCAGGTTATGATGAATAATGGAAAAATAAAAAACTGTATGATATAGGTCTTTATTACAGTACACATCTAATCCATCTAATCAAATATTCGCTTAAAATTGACAAAAACTTTTTAATATATATATAAAAAAGCCAGAGATCACTTCTATCCAATAATAACAAATCATCAACGCAACACAAAGGCTTCATCTGCGTTTGCACTGATGCACGTTCGCCTTTGTTGTTGTTGTTGTTGTGAAAATTACATCTTGTCATCATATGTTAACCTAGCTAGTACAAATAACAGGACATTGATAATAATTTATGCAACCTACTCACCTGAAGTCCTTGCGAAGATGATTGAAAATAAAATAAAATCAAGCGGGAGAGAAAGGGAGCGTTTCGGTTTTTTCAGACTGTCCATCGACCCATAATCAAAATGCACATTATTTCTTGTATTAATCTTCCACCCTGATCTTTCAGCTGCATTTGAATATAGTCCATACACGGTTTAATTCATTTTTAATCTACGATGGACGGAACGACGGACGATGGCCCAGCATCATCAGCCACGCATAGGCTATGATGAAGCTGCAGACTCGGAGACCTGCATCTACAGTCCCTGCACCCAGAGTCCCGCATTCTCAGACCCCTCGTTTTTCGAGACAGCGCCTCCTATCAAATTATATCGGATAAAAATGTGAAGAACATGTGAAGAACTTAAGCCAAAACGTGAGTAGCTATCTTCAATTTTATTTAGCGAATCGTAGCCTACTCGTTTGATTTATTTTTTAATAAAACTAATTTAGCTCATCGATACAACATAGCCTATGAATAGTCCATTGAATATTTGTAAAGTTAATTTTTAACAAGATTTGAGCCGTTAATTGATGTTTTTTCGCCCTCTTCCCCCAAACAATATTTAGATAGCTTACGTTTATTATTTAGCAACATAAACATAATTGCATCATAAGACATGTGCTATCGGTCCTATGTTGTAGGCTATTCCAGGGTACACCATACATCGATGGAGTTGCCCCTGCCGAACCCAGCAACGTCTTTATGATTATGCAAAGTGACTTAGGGCTATAAATTATTTTTTTTAATGCAATTGAAGACGAAAAGTAAAGTCACGAACACAGTTTTTTCTTCTTCTTTTTTCTTTAGCCTACAGCAAGATGATGTTTAGGTGATCATTAAATAAAGTAGGAATTGTTTATTATTGGTGTTTTGTCTATTCTGATTTGTTTTGCTTCGCATTCAAAATATTAAAAAACAGATTTTGTAATGCTAGCATGGTAATGTTAATTAGACCATTATAGGTTGAACTGAAAGAAAATTTGGAATTTGAATAAAAAAAATATTAAAAAAAAACATTGTAGCAATATAATATCACATACTTTCTAAAGATTCTTAGAAAAGTTTAGATTTTCTAAAGTTCAGTCTGTAATTGTATCCCTTCCATCAGTAACAATTAGTTTTTTTGCACATGCATTAAGCAGGGAACGCAAATATTTATTGGATAATTTATTTGGAGACCGTAATATTGCATCCTATTGTTTTTAATTGCATTTGGATATTGTGCTCTGTACTGTGTGTGCGGGTGTTATTCGATCTTTTGAACAATAGGAGGCGCTGTGTTCGAAAAACGAGGGGTCCGAGAATGCGGGACCCTCGGTGGGGGACTGTAGATGCAGGCTCCGAGTCTGCAGCTTCATAATATTGATCCATTTTGGGGTGAAAGCAACTCGGCAGCGGCCCGGCAGTCATGCCTATATTTAGTCCAGCGGTCATTTTAGGATTTTAGGTTGAAATAAGGAGATTATTTGAACTCACAACAGTTAACGTCATAGCAGTTAAAAAGAAGTTGCAACATAACCACAACTTGAGACAGGAAAGTTCAAGGATTTAGTATTTCTCTCCACATTAAGTCTGACAGGTAAGAATAAAGTGATAACAGTTCATAAAGTTATAATAACGTTAGACCATTTCCATGAGGTACACATAACGTTAAAATAAGTTATCAATAAAATAAATGAATTCAGCAAATGAATTTTATTGTACAAAAATGTAAATGTTGAACAATAAGTATTTAACAGCAATAGAATGGCTTTACAGTAAACTGTTTTTTTTTTTTTTGCAGTATTATCTTATATTAATGACCGTTAAAGCAAGACTATGTAAATAAATAAAAACAACATAAAAAAACAAAACAAACTAAAAGATCATCGTGTTTGTGACATGATCCAGGAGATTAGAAAGTAGTAAAGGTGTAAAGTTGCATAAAATGGAAATACTCACTAATGCAAGAAAAAACTAGGCCTACCTCAAAAAACTGTATTCTGTGCTGTTGTCCAGTAACTCCAGTTGTAATTTCCACCACAAAATGGCGGCCGCGCTACCGAAGCGCCACCTGGTGGCTGTTAAAAAATGCATCAGAGTTTCCCCTCTCGTTCTTCTATGCAATTACGGTCTCGTTTTTGGTTCCAAATAAATATTCGTGTTCCCTGCTTAATGCATGTTGTGCCAAAAATATAATTCTGTTACTGATGAAAGGGATACAATTACAGATTGAACTATCCTCTGAAAAATAGTAGGCTATGTGATATTATATTGCAACAATGTTTTTTTTTAATTCAAATTGCAATATTTCTTTCAGTTCAACCTTGGTCTAATTAACATTATCATGCTAACATTACAAAACCTGTTTAAAATATTTTGAATGCAAAGAAAACATAAAAGAATAGACAAAACACATAGCCTAAACAATTCAACGATCACCATCTTGCTGTAAAGAAAAAAAGGAAGAAAGAATTGTATTCGTGACTTTACTTTTCGTCTTCAATTGCATTTAAAAACTCCCCAAATACGGTCGCTTTGGATTATCATAAAATGAAATGTTGCTGGGTTCAGCAGCGGCGCGACCGCATCGATGTAGGCTATGTAACGTTACATAATACAACAGTGTTAGCACATGTCTTATGATCTTTCAAAAAGAAAAAAGAAAGATGTTTGCAAAATGTTACCTTCATGTTGCACTGCTCTGTTGAACATAAACACAGCATAGGCCTACATAGCATTAATAGCAAACATTAACGGCTCAAATTTTGTTACAAACGATCTTTGCAAATATTAATCATACCAGAGCCCGTCTAACGGAGAGCCTTAATTGGCACTACGTGAGCTTAATTATAAAGTTCTATCTCCACTTTTGGTCAAAATTGAGTTTTTGACATAATCTGATCCATTAGGTGTTTATTAATGCCTGTGTGGTGTTATTTTTGTAAAAAAAAGATTAATAGATAAAGCTATAATAGAAGATTATACTAGCCTACATAACAGTTTTGCCAGCTGGGATGTAAAAACTTTGATGCTCAATATCTCAGAACTAACCGAAACGGAGATAGAACCTTATAATTCTAAGCTATCATCTTGGTTGCAGTTCCATTAGAATTCCACTGGAGGTGATCGCCCCTACTGGCGAGTGCAGAATGAATTGGAGTCTATGGGGCTAAACGGCTAAATGTGTCTTGTCGTTAAATCAACATACCTTTTATTGTTGATTCCGCAAGTTCAATATAGATTATAGGCCAAAAGTCGAATGAACGAGTACTTATGTCCTTTTGATTTCTTACAGGTTAGGCCATTGTTGGCCGGAACACGCTAGCATTCTGCTATTGTGTGACATCATCACAGTTTTGAACGGATTTTTAGAACAGATAAGTGAACTTAAAAATGCAATTTTCAGCTGAGTGTATTATCTTAGCCCCCCCCCCCTTTGAATGCAACTTTAAAATTACTTGACAAAAAATTACATCCTGAGAAAAGTGGATTTCTGGGGGTGAAACCCCATTGACTCCCATTCATTCTGCACTCGACCGCGAGTGCCCCCGCATGGACAGAGACGTGTTACTGCAGCCAGTCCAGAAACCGGAAGTAACCAGCCAGTGCCAATTCTCTGACTGTACCAAAGACTATTCGGTTGTTAAGTCGTGACGTAATCACGCTCTGATAATACTGTTTCCGGGTCCAAATGCTGGGTCCTCTCTATCTGCTTACCGCTTTTGCCCGAGTTTTAACATGCCGCAGTGCTGTGTCCCATGTTGTTTAAATAGATCGGAGTTAAAAAAAAAAACAAGTGACATTCAACTGTCATTCTACCGCTTTCCCTGTGACGACAAAGAAAAGAGAAAATGGCTGCAGTTGATAAGGTAAGTTACAATTCTTTCCTTTATCCCTAACACCCACTGGCGCTGAAGCGAAGCCAGTCCTTTAAGAAAAGGGCTTAGTCTAACGTTATGGGTTGTAACGTTAATTAGATATGGACGAGCGGAGCGCTTGGACCCGGAAGAGGCTAAACGTCACGCGTGACGTCAGACTTAAAGGGTTAGTTCACCCAAAAATGAAAATTCTGTCAGTATTTATTCACCCTCATGTTGTTCCAACCCCGTAAGACCTTCGTTCATCTTCGGAACACAAATTAAGATATTTAAGATATTAAGATCGCTCCTGCATACAGTCCATAGGCTTCTTGAGGGACTGGCTCTTGCTGTCCTCGAAAAGTCATTAAAGGGTTAGTTCACCCAAAAATGAAAATTAAGTCATTAATTACTCACCCCCATGCTGTACCAACCCCGTAAGACCTTCGTTCGTCTTCGGAACACAAATGAAGATATTTTTGATTAAATTTGAGAGCTGTATAACTACCACATTGGCTCCTAAGGGACTGCCTCTTGACGGCCCAAAAAGTCAATGAAGAAAATGTTTAAATATCCCAAGTGACTACCGTGGCTCAACTATATGTTTATCAAGCGACGCGAATACTTTTTGTGCGAAAAAACAAACAAAAATAACGAGTTTATTCGACTATTTTTTTCTTCCTTGTAGGCCAGAACGAGACTTCCTTATAGATTTCCACGACGCATGCGCGAGATTTGCGATCTGCGTACACCAGCTTACACCACTTCAGATCGCAATTCTCGCGCATGCGTCGTGGAAATCTATAAGGAAGTCTCGTTCTGGCCTACAAGGAAGAAAAAAATAGTCGAATAAACTCGTTATTTTTGTTTGTTTTTTCGCACAAAAAGTATTCGCGTCGCTTGATAAACATATAGTTGAGCCACGGTAGTCACTTGGGATATTTAAACATTTTCTTCATTGACTTTTTGGGCCGTCAAGAGGCAGTCCCTTAGGAGCCAATGTGGTAGTTATACAGCTCTCAAATTTAATCAAAAATATCTTCATTTGTGTTCCGAAGACGAACGAAGGTCTTACAGGGTTGGTACAGCATGGGGGTGAGTAATTAATGACTTAATTTTCATTTTTGGGTGAACTAACCCTTTAAAGACATCGTTAAAATAGTCCAAGTGACTACAGGGGCTCAATCTTAAGTTTATCAAACGACGAGAACACTTTTGTGCGCAAAAAAACAACAAAAATAACGACTTTATTTCAACTATTCGTTTATTTCTCCCTCTGCGCTAGTCAGGTTACTAGTTTAATAGCGTAAGCTTCTGTTATTGTACGTCACACGCATCACACACACATGACCAGCGTCGGCCAATAGTGAGCCTACGTTTGACGTAGCTCTACGCAATCACACTACGTTAACGGACTACAGTCTTATGGAGAAGGAAGTGAATAGTTGAAATAAAGTCGTTATTTTTGTTGTTTTTTTGCGCACAAAAGTGTTCTCGCTGTTTGATAAACTTAAGATTGAGCCCCTGTAGTCACTTGGACTATTTTAACGATGTCTTCAATTACTTTTCGGGGACAGCAAGAGCCAGTCCCTCAAGAAGCCTATGGACTGTATGCAGGAGCGATTTTAATATCCTAAATATCTTAATTTGTGTTCCGAAGATGAACGAAGGTCTTGCGGGGTTGGAACAACATGAGGGTGAGTAAATACTGACAGAATTTTCATTTTTGGGTGAACTAACCCTTTAACAACCGTTGTTAAGTCTGACGTCACGCGTGACGTTTAGCCTCTTCCGGGTCCAAGCGCTCCGCTCGTCCATATCTAATTACCGTTACAACCCATAACGTTAGACTAAGCCCTTACTGGCTTCGCTTCAGCGCCAGTGGGTGTTAGGGATAAAGGAAAGAATTGTAACTTACCTTATCAACTGCAGCCATTTTCTCTTTTCTTTCTCGTCACAGGGAAAGCGGTAGAATGACAGTTGAATGTCACTTGTTTTTTTTTAACTCCGATCTATTTAAACAACATGGGACACAGCACTGCGGCATGTTAAAACTCGGGCAAAAGCGGTAAGCAGATAGAGAGGACCCAGCATTTGGACCCGGAAACAGTATTATCAGAGCGTGATTACGTCACGACTTAACAACCGAATAGAAGAACAAGAGGCGAAACTCTGATGCTTTTTTGGTAACAGCCACTAGATGGCGCTTCGGTAGCGCGGCAGCCATATCGGGGTGAAAATTCCTACTGGAGTTACTGGACAACAGCACAGATAACAGTTTTTTGAGGTAGTTTTTTCTTGCATTAGTGAGTATTTCCATTGCAACTTTAAACTTTTACTACTATTATTACCAACTCCACTAGGCCTGAAATATATTTTGGACGTTTTAATCCCCTGGATCATACAAACATGATGATCATTGGTGCGCTGTGTCCGTTATCCTATAACTTGTTGCCACTTTGGACATTGGCTGTGTTTTTTTTTTTTTTTTGTTTACATGGTCTTGCGTCATTAAGATAGGCTAGTAGGCCTACTGCAAAAAACAAAAAAAAAACTGTTTACTGTAAAGCTATTCTATTGCTGTTATATATTTATTTGTCAAACATTTACATTTTAGTACAACATTTATTTGCTGAATTTATTTCATTGATAACTTACTTTTGTAAGTAACGTTATATGTAGGCCTACCTCCCGGCCCCGGGAAACGGTCTATGTTATTAAAACTTTATGAACTGATATCACTTTATTCTTGTGGAGAGTAATATAATGAATTAAATCCTCAAACTTCCCTGTCTCAAGTTATGTGGGGGTAAAAGCCCGGTTAAGTAGCAACTTCTTTTATAGACCATTTCACAAGATGTAAACAACACTGGTCCAGAAGCACTTCCTGTTTCAATTTGTAACTGTTTTCTTTATTTCACATGTAAAGAAAACATCTTAAAGATGTTTGTTTAACTTTTTGATTCAGTTTTAAATGTTCTGTTGGTTGTATTTTAAAGGGTTAGTTCACCCAAAAATGAAAATTCTGTCAGTATTTACTCACCCTCATGTTGTTCCAACCCCGTAAGACCTTCGTTCATCTTCGGAACACAAATTAAGATATTTAGGATATTAAGATCGCTCCTGCATACAGTCCATAGGCTTCTTGAGGGACTGGCTCTTGCTGTCCTCGAAAAGTAATTGAAGACATCGTTAAAATAGTCCAAGTGACTACAGGGGCTCAATCTTAAGTTTATCAAACGACGAGAACACTTTTGTGCGCAAAAAAACAACAAAAATAACGACTTTATTTCAACTATTCACTTCCTTCTCCATAAGACTGTAGTCCGTTAACGTAGTGTGATTGCGTAGAGCTACGTCAAACGTAGGCTCACTATTGGCCGACGCTGGTCATGTGTGTGTGATGCGTGTGACGTACAATAACAGAAGCTTACGCTATTAAACTAGTAACCTGACTAGCGCAGAGGGAGAAATAAACGAATAGTTGAAATAAAGTCGTTATTTTTGTTGTTTTTTTGCGCACAAAAGTGTTCTCGTCATTTGATAAACTTAAGATTGAGCCCCTGTAGTCACTTGGACTATTTTAACGATGTCTTTTATGACTTTTCGGGGATGGCAAGAGCCAGTCCCTCAAGAAGCCTATGGACTGTATGCAGGAGCGATCTTAATATCTTAAATATCTTAATTTGTGTTCCGAAGATGAACGAAGGTCTTACGGGGTTGGAACAACATGAGGGTGAGTAAATACTGACAGAATTTTCATTTTTGGGTGAACTAACCCTTTAAGACACACATACACACACACGTGCGCGCGCGCGCACACACACTTTAGGCCGTGTAGGGGCACAGATTTGACATTTTACTTTACCTTCTAGCACTTACATCACGTCCTATTTTCAAACACTCATAAGAGTGAACGTGACTATAGAAACCGTAAAAATTTAATATTCAATTAATAATATTTTTTTACTTGTATGACATTACGCTTTATCAGCGGCGCGGCGCGCCCTCTCATGGCGAGACGCGAGAATCCATAGGACTCTCACAGTGCACAGTGCATTATGGGAATGTTCTATCTTGAGCGCATAGATAGATATAATACATAGACGTTGTAACATGTTTTACTGGATTCTAAGGACCAATTAGGAGTCCATGCTGTGATGTTGCCCATGCACTAGACGGAAGCCACAGGATAAAGAATCGTTTAAGTTCAATCCTTTTCTGTAGGTTTCCATCCACTTGAATTAAAAATAAATACATTTAGTTAATTTGTGCAGCCTAACTATGGAGTAAAAATCAGTGAAATTCTTATAGATAATTAAATGTACAGGGCAATGAAAACACACAGACTGAGAAACTGCTTCTTTCCGAGAGCTGACCTCCATTACAACCTCTGCGCATCCAACACACACACCTTCTTACACACCTTCTTCACACAATCTTAGACCCCAATAAAACGAAGAGACAAATTTATTTATTTTTCACTATATTACACCATTTCTATAAAGAAATGTAATTTTTAGCTATGTATAATAAAACAAACACTTGTGTTAAATTGGAAACACTATAGAGGAAAGAAAGGAAAACTATACATAGAAATATAAATAAATTATTTAAATGAAAAGAGCCTTAAGATAAATAAAATGTTACGTGTGTATTTATTTATTTATTTTTTTACTTTTTCTTAATATTGGAAACACTCATAATCAGTAGCATATTGGTTGCAATGCTTTCTCCTACAGACTGGATTTATTTCACCAATGCATTGTCTGATAGAAAGGATTTCTTTTCTTAATCATGGTTTTACATTATGTACAATCATCCAAAACATACAGTACAATAATTCACATGTAGAAATCAACAACACAAAATAAAATTATGAACATTAATTTGCCCCCAACCCATTTAGCCTACTGTTATTTATCACATATGCATGCTACCACTGGATCAGTCCATCTCAAGTGGTCTAAAATTTCTTTGGGACCATTGCTTTTAATATGATTTTGATTTGCGTACAACTGATATTTACGGAAACCTCAATATATACTTTTTTCAATATATACAACATCAAACTGACAACATGTTTAAACTAGGCTATTTGTATTACTACATACCTGTAAAAGTATATCAGCCTAGATAGAAGGGCCTTTGAATATTGTCTCGAACAAAGGGGGAGATGCTATGACTTGGAGACATTTAAACCCTTTTAAGTTTTAGGTTTTAAGGTCCCTCTCAGAAGTTTGTTGAGGCCCCCTAGTGGCTCCCAGCCCCCCTGACTGAGAAACACTATCTGTTAAGTTTTCAAAATGCATGAATAAAGTGTGCTCGATCTCTACTTTCTCTAATTTTGTAACACAGCTGTTGTGGGTAAACCAATTCAAATAAAAAAATTGCTCCATTGGACCAATTGAAATGGTTTGAGCCCAATGTTCCATTTACACAGCAAGGGTGGTAGCCTATACTGTTCATGTGACATACATTGGCATTTGTGTAGGGCTGTACAGTGTGACATCCAACAAAAGCAAACATTTAATGACACGCTTTTTTTTTTCCAAACTCACTTCATATCATCAGAGTCGAGTGTTTGATATACAGTAACTTCCTTTTGTGATCTTATCTGAAGTGGCTTCATATCCAACATGACATCATGACTTTTGCGTAAACATATACGCCACTTTCGAGTCAGGTGGCGTGTTATCTCTACGCATTTTGAGCTATCCGCGAATGAGGCAGAGAAATTATATAATTTTTTTAAGTATTCTAGTGATAGAGGCTAGTATGTCGATTAGCATTGCATTAAAAATATACATTATTTTTATGAAAATAGCTGAGATGACTAGAAGAACACAAATAAACCATTTATTGTCTTCCTGTTTCATCAGTCACAACAACGTGTCTATGTTGTACTCTGCTACAGCGATATCCGACATGCCTTATCATAACTTTTATGAATCTGAGTTTATGAGTATGACACGAGAGGCTGTATATGAACGAGACATACATTACATTGCAAACTCAAAAATGCTATTAAACACCCTATTTTGGGTTAAAAAAAATACTCTCCAGAGATATTTGAAATAAGCAAATGCAAATCTATACGTTTTTCTCATTTTAAAACATGTAATAATTTATAAAACTTTACTTCTAACGATTTATAGGAAAACGAATATGTATTTTCAAGTGATCAGCCAAAACAATGATGTTGTTTGGATTGTGATTAGTGATATTGGACTATATAACAAAAATGACCCAATGTAAAGCGAGAGTCTGCCATTTTTGGCAAATAAAGAAAATGTGTGTCTGAAAATATTTCTGGTTAAGGTTTGTATTTTGTGTGTCCAGTATGGAACATTAATGCCCTTTGTCAGTCATATGCCTGTTTAGGTGATGAACTGCAATTCTTGTGGCTGTTTTCAGATAACACGTGTTTTATTCGTGTACTTCACTGTGTGGTCTGTGCTACAGTATACAACACTTTCAACCCCTGTAGCATCAGTGCGTGCAAAAGTCCAGCCCTCACTTGTGTACTTGTTTAATTGACTTAGGTTACACAGGCAATTGCTACTAAGTTCTGATGTAAAATGTTTAGCTTTTCTGAAAAGAAAAGAAAAAAATGACATCATAATTGTCCATACACCGAGTTGTATCTCTCAAAGTACTGACTGGTTTGAGTCTGTATCCTCCCTCTGGCTGGTGCCTGTGACTAAAGTAAAATAAATAAATCATTACTAATAGATTAAGTTTTTAATGAAAAGGACCATTTACAACTTATGCACTATTTAAGTGATGGGGGGAAAACTCACAAAGTCCTGTCCTGTTTCTCTGTGACTTAAATCTTTTCTTTTTTTCCATCTCCTGTAAACATAACTTACAATATCACATGTGTACAATATCACACATTTGACAAACGTTTTTTGATACCACAGCAAATACTGAGATGTGATTTGCATATCTTTACTATACTCATAATCTTTTCTATTTTTAAAATTAGCGGATATAATATTAAAGCAATTAAAATAAATATATGCATGGTGCCAAATATTTACTAATATTTTTTTTAAAAGGTATTGTCACTTCATCATACATGAAAACTAAAATCAATAAATTATCTCATCAGTTTATGGTGTGTTAATGTCTCTCACCTGTGAATGCAGAAGCTGATGGTGAATATCTGAAAGACCATAAGAACTCCAGAACATGAGATGATGATGATGATGATGTCGAGAGGCTTTTGTTTGGGTGATGATGGTTGGTTTTCTGACACACAAAAGAGTCAAACACACATGATATCAGTCAACCAGCACTCTTATAGTAACTGGTTACAAACTATATTTGTTCTATAATAAATGAAATTGTTTTTGAAGAAGCAGCAAATGAAATCATGGAATAACCTGTTATTGTTAATGTCCATCCTATTGCTGCTGGATGGCAGGTGTAGTTTCCTGCATCAGACGCTTGTATTTGATGTATTTTTAAATCTTTTGAAACAGCTGGATTGATGTGAATCCTGTTTGAGCTGAAGTTTATCATAGATCTGTTATTGGTCGAGTCATAACTAAAAATAATAGAGCTGTTAATTTTCCATGTGAAATCGTCATCAAATGGGGTTTTGTTGCAGTGAAGTGTAACTGTTTCCCCCACAAACACTGTTTTCTCGATGTGCAGCCGAATCCTTTGCTCTTGATTTGATTTGGAATAATCTGATGAAAAGACAATAACTGCATCAGAAGGTAAAACACATATGTGAACACATGCATCCAAAAGCTTGCAAGACACACCTGTTGCTCATGTCCTTAGTCACCGCCACTAAAACACACAAGGACATCACACAACACCAAAACCAAACAAACAATCACAACAATGTTATAACATACCTGCATAAGTCAGTAAATAAATGATGACCCATATATTTAGATGGAGGATTCTGGTTTGAAAGACCTCCATGATCGCAGAATGTTGAAGCTCTCACTCTCCCTTCAACATGTCAAGCACTTCTGATCAACTGTGAGTCTGCAGACAGGAACGAGGGGAAGTGGTTACATGAGAGTGGGACACCGCCGAGAACCGCTGAGCTCAAGAAAGTAACGTGATGATCAGAACGTGAAACAGCATAAGATACTTACGATTATTACAGCTACTCTGAGACAACAAAAGTATTATCCAGAATATTCAGAATTGTATATTTCTTACATTTTATTTGAATAGTGTATGGGTAGTTGACTTAAGATGTGGTCCTTTTTAATTTACTAACATCAAATGGCCCATTAGTGTAAATGGGCCATTTGTGTAAATGGGCCATTAGTGTAAATGGGCCATAATACAATTATTACTTATATTCCATGTTTCTTAAATATGAGATCATAAAAGCAACATGTATCATTTTTATTTCATTTTTTTTAAGGCTGTTTAAAATGTTTTAGATGGAGTTTAACACTTTACACCAGCATGCAGGTAATGTCATTTTTCTAAAAACTATTTTTATTATAATTATTGGTATTGCTATGTGCTATTAAGGCATAAATTACTCTTTCTTTTATATCAGGCATGTACTATGGTGTAAATGCACCCAGAGTTAATTAATTAATGTAGAGGCAGGACTAATATTTCCTTTTAAATTCAGACAGTAAACTCAGTAGTGTGCATTACAACAGCAAACAGCCTTTGTTGAGTTGAAAGACAACTCTCATAACCCACACACTTCCTGTATTCTAGGACCCTCTGTACCACAGAAAACATTTGTGGAGCAATGCTAAAACATCTGCAGCTGTGCTATTTCTTTGCTTCTTTAACAAAATCACTTAATTGTAAAAGCTTTAAGCACATTTGACACACTTACAATGATGATCTTTGCTCAACCTTTTTGGCAGGACTTCTTCAATGAGGTTGAAAATGAAAAAGGGATATAAGAATACAGAAATCACCACAGTGTCAAACTAATTATAAAATGGATGGTTCAAGTTCTGGATGTTGATGCAAAACACCCCTTCAGCCATATCACTGTGCGGCTCACATATGTTTTCTGTATAGCAGCATTTCATCATAGGCTATATTGTCCATAGGAAATATGTCATTTGATGAATTTGCTTAGCAATTTAACATTACAATGAAAATTAATAAATGTGAAAAAAATCAATAGAGCACTTGTGCTTAACAGCACCCTTTTAGCCGTGACCTCTGATATTTTCTAATCTTTTAAATGAGAATGGAAAGATCTGTACAATCAGGTGTGTAGGTAAATGATGTGTGTGGTGAATAGATTCCACTGGCCAAAGCAGTTGAAAGAACGCGTGCACAGGCCGTTGTATCATTTTTCCACATCGGTTAGCATCATAGATGAAGTAGATATGAAGCAAACAGACCAAAAGCCACTATCACTAACATGAGCTGTCGATCTGGACTTGTAACGGAAAGGTTATTGGTTCAATTCATAAGCTCCTAAAAGCAAGTTTTATTAAGTCTCCTGTCTTTTATATTCTGGTTTTGGTCCATTTTTGATCAATGACCTGCTTGTCATTATGAAGGAAGATAAAGTGTTAAACTTTTTCTGATGGTGGATTTAATGTTGCTTCCTATTGTGAGTTGACACACGCTGCAGTGAGGTCATCATTTAACACATTTTCAACAAGCTAATTAAAAGAAATACATCATTTGCTTTAAATGACTGACTTCCATTTTCTGGACAGATACATTCTCAAGTCAACACATGTTATAGTTATGTTCTGTTTTTTAAGTACATACATTCAGTCAATTTGGTTTTGGTAGTTTATTTTGTTCAACATGATATTTTTCACTAATACAACAGATTTTTGACTAACATCATACAGTTTGCTCCACATTGTAGCTTATTCTAGTGAAGAACCACCCACTTGAACAGGAAGAGTCCGTCTGACTGATATAAAACAACCAATCACAGTTTGTTTTGTTTTTATGTACCATTTACAGGTGGATTTATCAGTAGTTAATATCATATTATTGGTATGACATTGAGCAACAATCACTGTGGTTTCACAATCAGTTGCACCCAAAACAAGGAACTTAATAGACACTTTGTTATATTCTCTTCCTTCAAAAGTGATAAGGAATATTTCACAAACAGAAGTAAAGCAGAATACACAGATTGTCAATAATAAGTTGTCAATGTTTAGGTGTTAAGTGCCTCTAACAAAACTATGAATGTCTTTCAAAGATTTGATGACACTAAAACTGGCAAACTTTAGCAAATCCAGTGATTAGTTCCTCCCCAAAATCCATTGGAAAACAATTTTGTTTCCATTTGTACCCAAACAGCTGGAAATTGCATAGAAGCCATGACAAACATGTCTAGAACTTGAAACTTTCAGACAGTATTTGGCATTTTGGGGGCAGTCAGTAAACAGACTTGTGGGTGGAGATGCTGTCTGAGATTGAAACTAAGTAAGGCCTTCTGCACATGAAGTAATATTATCTCGAAGAGTGGGAGGGCTGTCAAACAGAAAAAGAAAAAGAGAAAGTAGGCATGTATGGAACAATCATGCCAGTTATTATCATCCAGGAATCACAAAGCTTCTGACCTAAAACTGCATAGAGAAACAGGAAGTGTCTTTATTAGGCCTAAATAGCACTGAGAGATACTGATTAAATGTTGACTATGCTTCACATGTTAAAAAACGTTCCACTGAAACAGCTTTGTTGTTAAAAGAGTAGTTTTTCACTTTTAACTTTCAAACTTTTTTTAACTTTTAAACCTTCACTTTAAAAAAATTAATAATAATTAATAATTAAATTGATAATTAATAATAATAATTTACTCACCCCCATGTCATCCAAGATATCCATGTCATTCTTTCTGCAGTCGAAAAGAAATTAAGGTTTTTGATGAAAACATTCCAGCATTTTTCTCCATATAATGCAAATTTACTGGTAACCAAACGGTTCAAGGTCCAACAGACACTTTCATTGCAAACTGCAAACTGTTCAAAGGGCTTTAAACGATTCCAGACGAGCTCAAATGCTCTACTGCTCTGTTCTGTGACGTTTGTGACTCTCCTGTTCGAACTCGTTCATCGAAACGAACAAATTGACTCAGAAAAAGATTCGTTCATTCGTTTTGATGAACGAGTTGGAACAGGAGAGTCACGAACGTGCATCACTGTACAGAGCAAGGCGAGCGTTTGAGCTTATAAAACTTAAATTTTGTTATTTATTTATTAAATGAGCGATCGTTTCGCTTGATAAGACCCTTATTCATCAAATGGAATCGTTTAAAGCATTTTGAACAGTTTGCAGTTTGTACTGAAAGTGTCTTTTTGAACTTGAACCGTTTGGTTACCAGTGATGTGCATATGGAGAAAATGCTGGAATCAAAAACCTAAATTTCTTTTCGACTGAAGAAAGAAAGACATGTACATCTTGGATGACACAGGGGTGAGTAAATTTATCAGCAAAGGTTTTTTTGTTTGTTTGTTTTTTTTAAGTTATTGAATAATAGTGCACTAATATAAGCAATGCTCTGGAAGTTTAAACGTCTGTCATATGACAGCCAGGTAAGATATAGCAAAAGTGGAAAGTGCTAATTGACAAAGATGATCTTTTAACATGCAGACTAGAGGCATGAGTATCCGCACAGCAGTGGAGTAAATCTTCTGCCCTTTAGTCAATGGTCGGTGGCTATGCAAAACTAGGTTGAAGGGTTTAATGGAGTTTGAAGTTGATGTTGATATATTTGTGTGATCACAAAATTGATAAAACATCATATAATTAATTCACGGATTGCTTGTGAACAAGAAATTTAAATAGTGTAGGCTATTGAACAAGAATGACATAACTGGCCTATATTTATTCTATACTCTAAGTAGGCTACTAGCTGCAAACTCACACCTCAACCACAAGGCAGAAGTGTTACAGTATGTGCCTTTGCATCCTTGAGCCCTTTATGGTAAAAAGACTTACAAAAAGAACATCATAACAGGTTAAATTATATCATGTATGCGTATAATAATATACAAGTTTATAATATTAAAGTATATTGTAAAAATAAAAATTACACTGTTGCAACAATATTTGCAACAATGAAAAGGAGGGTTGTAGTCACAAAAAAAGAAGCTATATTTAGTAGTAACGAGTACTTGTGTACTATACAAGTAAATAAACGTTATACACTTTATATGCTCTGGTTAGAGGAATACAGTTTTATCTGCAAATTAAATAGTATTAGCAACTATTATACATTAATACAGACTAGTACATCTGAATAATGGAACCTGTATTGTCATCTGAATAAGAGAAATGGTGTGGGTTATAGTATGCTGTAAAAAGGTTACCCTTGCAGAAACTGCCCAGAGTGTGGTGTTCATGAAACTACCCACATACATCCTGAGGAGAGTGTTTTTTACATATGAGGGCATATAGATTTACTCCAAACACTACAGTGTATGCACGAGAAATAAACTATCTTGTGAATATGATGGTTGAAGGGAGTTGTTTGACATGACTCACAGTGGAGTGTGACTGTGTGAGTCAAACCATGACTGTTAGTTAGCCTCCTTGTTTTTATGTTATATCAGTGTGGTTTGTGTGTTAATGCTTTAATAACAAATACTTTATCAGGAGCATTTATGCTGATGTGTTTGGTGGAGATATGTAGGCTAACTTAAAAGTATTTGGAGGAACAGAAAAAAAAGACTTTTTGTGGGCGAGAGTGGGACAAAACTTAAATGTTGCG